GGCCTCGCAAATGCATATTGCGTATGTTCGGGCCGACGTACCCCCCTGGTTCACTTGATTGAAAAATATTTGCACGCTGTGCGCGACGCTGCTCTGTCGCAGCTTGCGGAAATTCGTTTGCTCCAGGCCCGACTCAAGGCGGCCGAGCACGCGGCCGAGATCAGTCGACTAGAGCGCGCAGTGGCCGGCGGTGTTGATGGCCTCTCTGCCAACGGCAATGACGACCACGCCGCCTCCGCGGGGGAGCCGTCGGCTGGAGACGCCCAGGGTGCAAGCGGTGAGAGACTAGGTCTTCAAATAGATGGGCCGCCTTCCTCGGTTCCCTAGAACACTGCGCTACGCTAATCATTATATGGTGGTTCGTTTGTTCGCCTTGTGATATGAGCAGTATCCAGATCCACCGCGTTTGTTTGTTTTCTTCGTCATTGGGAAACCTCGCTTTGGGCACCGGCGTCGGAGCGGGCCCCGGCCCTGCATGTGCTCCCGCCATGTTTGGTCCACCGATTGTAACAGCCGTCCCTTTTGATGGGTTTCGTTTGTTTGGTTGCATGGGAATGTTAGGGCCGGTAGGTGTCGAACCTTTGCCTTTATATGTTTTCGTGCGGTCAGGCGTTGACTTTGCGTCAGAAGAACAGCTATAGTCATGACACTAGACACCTTAAATCACTTGACCAGACCACATTTCCCACTGCTTGCGATTGCCCTTCTTGTCGGCTTTGAGACCTTCATAATAGTATTAATATTCATAACAATAGACTTAAGCGCCAATCCTTACCTCTATATTGTCCTCCAACTTGCATTGATTCTCCAACTTGCAGGGGCAGACGCCAATATGGGGGAGGAGTGCCGCGGCGAGGGCCGCGGCGGCGACGACGACGACGACGACGACGACGACCACGACGACGACGACCCCCCACTGCGCAAGTTTGGGATGACCTACGGCAAGGTGTCGATCGACAGGATGCGGTGCTGGAAGGAGTGCTACGACGATCTTCAAGGAACCCGCACTGCTGGTCGTGCCCAGCTCACCGCGATTATGGACGGCTCTACGTCGAGGAAGAAGGGGGCAGATGGTGAGAAGGTCACGACGAAGGTTACTGCCCCGTTGGTTCCCGGCTGCACCATGCCGACCGCCGGAAGGTGAGCAACGGGTTGGGCGAATATGTTGTTGGGATGTAACCTTGTGGTAGGTGTATCCCTGGATGTGGCAAGCACTGTGTAGAGACAGTGTGCAAAGGCTCACAGAGTGGCTGTTAAGTACACTTGTTGAAAGACCAGATTAATGGTTGAAAGTGGCGCTTAGTTGGCCAAAAGGTAAGGAAAGAGGAAAGAGAGAGGAGTGATCGAGTGGGGGCGAGCACCACGGGGGGCGAGCGTCCAAGCTATCACGGAAAGATGCACACACACGGGACATTGCAATATCCCGGTCACGCTAGCAGGCGGTTAATCCGACCTCTAGGAACAACGCAAGAATATTCTAACGGACAATGGTCTCTCCCAAATGGTCCGATAATTCTCCTGAGGTGAATACCCACGTGCTGTGTTTACAGTAGTACAAATACTTATGACTGACATTGAATTTACCAACATCATTTGTAACGTACAGACAACTGCTTTGTTTCAGAGCCCCCAGTCTACTACCCTTCTCCATCAAACATTAATGAAGCCTTTTGGCAATATTCCCCCCCCCCTCGGCCTAACGACTACGGCATGCACGACTATGAGTACACCCCCCCCCCCCCCTCGCGAACAACTGAACTGCTTTGATCAGGTGGCTCACAATCCTCTCGGCGATCAATGTTTGCCACAAGAAATCCTGCTGTACGAAGGATTCCACGATCGAGAACGCTCTACTGAAGCATCCCATCCCCAACGCCCAGAAGCCCCCCCCCCTCCCCGGCAAGTGTAAGACGGGGCGGCGCCAAGAAGCGGAAGACGGGCAAGAGTTAGTTTTTTTTTGTATGCCCTTTATCCTAAGCCTAGCGATATCGTCGGCATATTCGTTGTGACTTGGAGAATTGTAGCGGCATGTTCGTGTTGTAGGCTGGCCTCCTCTAGACTCGGCGCCAATCAACGGCGCGGGAAGGGGGCGGAAGGAAACAGCGAGGGAAGAGAGCTAACGAGAAGAGGCCGACCGTGTCGCACGGCATGTTGCGGATTGAAGCTGACTAGTATTTTTATTTTGTTATTTTCTCTCCCCCCCCCCCCCCCCCTTGCCTTCGCGTTTAGACTGTCTTCGTGGATATTCTGGCCCCTGCGCGAGTTGGTGTTCTCGTCTTTTATTTATTTTATTTTGTTTTGTTTTTTTGACACTTTTATTTCTTTGATTTTACCTCACATAAATTGCGTGTAGAGGGGAGCGGAGTAGAGGGGAGCGGAGGGCTAAAAAGTATTTTTGCTTCTGATTGTATTTTTCTCTTGTATTTTACCGCTCTGCTGATCCTTGGGGTCCATTTCATTTTGGTAAACCTTTTCTAGGTATGTTAACCTGTGACCACGGAAATTGACCGAGTCAAGTGTTGGATTAGTACGGAGAGATTCAGACATAAAGAGGTCCTGGATAGAGAGACCGGAATGCTTTTTTTTATTGTGAGAAAACAACAACAACAACAACAACAACAACATTCGTGTTGACTTGGAGGTTTTTGGTAGCAGCGTGTGATGCGCATTCGCAATGAGAATGTCATGTGAGGCTTAGGAGATCTAACGGCTCAGTGGTTGGGCTTTGGTATTGATGTCTTGTGCGGGTGTGTGGGGAACAGGTGCTACATCTTCGATTGTGCCCAAATCGTTGCGAGCTTGCTTTTATGTGCAACAGCAGGGGGGCGGGCTGTTTGCATATTTTTTTTTTTCTATTTGATTCTTCACCAACGGCAGAAACTTCTCCAACGGTAGAAACACGGATGTCGTGTAGGCGAGTGCGCTCCCTTTCGTTTAGTGGATGTCGGATAGTATATTTGGAGGAAGGATCCGACGTGTCGTAGTGACTGTACTCGTGGTTGGTGCCCTTATATTTAGAGGTTTGTGTTTCTTGTATTTTGGGACATTGAAAGAACACCGTGTGTCATGCGATCTGCGGTTAAAGTCAGTGAGGCTCAGAATGGAGGTGCATGAGATCATTGACTGGCTGTCGCAGATTGTGTTTTATCATCATGTTCACAAGGAAGGGCGGTTTATTTTGTGTTGGCGTACTGCATACAAGTATCGTTCTGCAAGACGCAACGCTGATGTAGATAATGTTGAATCTTGTTGGATATTTTTCCAAGAATATTTCTGGTTTTTTGACGGATTGAGTTTTCTCAAGGGTGTAAGGTAAGTAGGCTCTTGGCGTATGAGGTATATCGTTGATGGTATATTTTTGTATGTTTTAAGTTGCCGTTCCTGGAACGGCACATGCATGTAATTCGCTTGGACGACAGTACCTTTATCCAAGCAGGGGGCTGTTTGTGGTACTTGGGTGAAGATACTGGTCTGGATGGATTTTGGGGATACGCAGTTGGGGTAGTGGTATGACCATCTGGTATTGCGGGGACCCTTTCACCCTCCCAGAGACCACAACAAAATAACACAAGAGCAAAAACAACTTCAAGGGGCGCCTTCGGAGATTGTCGGCAGCGCGCTAAGCATTAGCCCTAGCGCCAGCGCACAAGCAGAACTTTCATCAAAGGACACGCAGTCAACCCTATGTTCATATGACGTCACTTGCGTAAAGGTGGCGAAAGTCACGCACATGATATGTACCGTGCAGTGATCATGCGCTTTAATGAAAGTGAAGAAATTGTTCGTCACTTGTCTTCACTTTCGTAAAAGTGACGAAAGTCACGCACGTGATAGTATCGTGGACTAGTTCTGCACTTTTATAAAAGTGACGTGCAAGTCACTTTCATAAAAGTATCATTCACTTTTATACCATGAAATGACTCTCGTAATAGTGATTTGACTGTTGTAGGAGTGTCTGTGAAAGTGAGTGTGGCTTTCACTTTCATTGTGGGAGGGAGTGACGTTTACAACAGTCAATATCACTTTTGTAAAAGTGACTATCACTTTTATACAAGTGACGTCACTCTTATGAAAGTGATTGTCGGTGTTATAAAAGTGCTCCTCACCGTTGTAAGAGTGACAGTTCACTGTTATAAGAGTGAAATTCACTGTTATAACAGTGAATTTCACTCTTATAACAGTGAATCCATTTACACGATAATGTGGGAACCCCCACTGTGGGGGCGAAGAACGAGAAAGCCTCCGCCTTCAGAATACGTACAGCAGTGGACCGGGTAGGGACCTAATTGGAAACACGTCAACCTCCACGCGGACGGCGTCAACCTTCTCGCTCAGAATACGCACGTACATGCAGCCTCATCTTACCTACGCCCAAGTCCGTCGGCCATACACCTAGGTTCATTGTCCGAGCCGGCGTCACTCAACTGTTATGGCAGGATGCCACCGGGACAAACACGTTGCGCCCGTACTCGTCTTGGTGGTAGTCCGCCTTCTTCCGCGGTCGGTTATCATAAAATGACAGGAAGAACTAAAATCTTGATGACACGTACCATACGGCAAGATTCGTGGCCGGAAGAAAAACAGAGTGAAAGGACGGGGGGGGGGCGAAATAGACCCGTGCCACATCCATGCGTTCCAACTCACGTGCCGTTCGTTGGTAAATAGCGTGTCTTGAGCGGGGCGTAGAGATGGGCTTTTGCTGCTGCAACAGTCCGACCGAAGTCGACAGAGTACAAGAACCTTGCTTTGTGGGTGAGGTGGTGGTGGACGGGCGATGGCTGTGACGGGCGTACCTCGGAAGGAAAAAAAAGACGCGGGGTATGTACCCCATTTTCCGCAGAAGATACTGTTTTTTTTTCCCTCTCGGGCGTATCTTCCCGAGACTCACCGATGCAGTTTGGGGATAGTTGTGTGCAATGGGACTTGTAGTCATATTTTCCATTCTGGGGTTGCCCGGGACACTTTCGACCACCCAGACAGACAGGTAGATGCAGGTTGTTGCTGTCTTCCTCCTTCAAGTTTTCTCTCCGCCCTGCGCATAAATGAAGACCCATGCCAAACTCAAAAATCACACGCTGCTGCACCCGGTGGCTCCAACAACATGCGGTGCAACTCCGACAGCACATCATCTACCGTCTATCAGTACTCCGACCATCTTTATCACCGCGGCAAGTAAATCATGCTCAAGCACCACGACATGAATACCTCCAAGTACCACCCACGCTAGGCAACCCCGAGGGGTCGCCGGGGCTCTGATGACACGCGAGAAGAACTTGTCAGCGCAACCACAATCGAACAAGCTGCGGCTGCTACTCGATGTGCAACAACCCTCTGCGTGTCGGGCGGCTGGCCATGCCGCAGCAGCAGCAGTAGCAGCAGCAGCAGCAGCAACGTTGTGACGAAAGTTACCGCACCCCCGGTGACAACATGTTTGTTACGTACGCTGGATGAACTGGAGATTCGACGCAATTTAATCTTACAGGAGGAGTTTTACAGTAGTGCGGAATACCAAACCACCGAGTGCGGAATACCAAACCACCGAGTGCGGAATACCATACCGTCGACTAGAACCCCGAACAATCATAGTGCCGCGTGCACTGCGCCACAACCACTGGATAAGCAGGGGCCCTACCCAAACAAAACCCCTCATCGAAAACACGCCCCGAAATAATGTCAAGTTGCGCACAGGGCGGGGCGGGGAACACAGCTCCCGCTCCCCCCCCTGCCCCGCCTCGAAGCATGCGCCTCGCCCCCGCTCGGCTTAACATTTTCGAGTGAACCTCTTCATTTCACGAGCTCACTCCATATCTTCACTTCGCTCTGCTTCGACTCGATTCAGATTATTGCACGAGCTCTGGCCAAACGTTTTGCACGAGCTATCTATGTAGTAGGCGGTGTGGCAAAACTGGTGGGTGGCTCTAGTTAGGCCGACTTCAAGAAGAGCTCCTTGCACTGCTTCATCGTGTCCTCCGGGGACGTGACCGTGTGCCCGATCGTCCGCGGGGACTCGAAGATCTCGAAGTCGTTCCCGCCCTTTGTACAGAAAATCATCCCCGAGGGCGGTCAAAAGAGAGGACATCCGGAAAGAGGGAAAAAATAGTGAGGCGACGGGCAGCGGCAGGGACAGCAGGAGCAACAATGGAAAAATCAACACAATACGAAGACGGCTACTACACTTTTTTTTCGCTCGCTAGGTTCGGTGTATGTGGAACTTAACAACATAACGGTAGGATGTACGACCGACGAGCAAGCATGCCCGTGTGCGCTGGCGGCAGCAACAAACAGCTAGGCGAGGAGTGCGCCCAACAGATCAAGGATAAAAAAAGCGGAAGACGAGCACAACCTCCGACCATCCGACAAAAACAACGAGAGACGGCACACGTACAAACTACACTCAGCAGCAGTACCACACGTATGGACAAAAATGCTTCCAAACAACGTTGCCACACCAATACCAACCACGCGCTCTCGGGGATAAACAAAAACAGCGTCCGCCGCTGCAGCGACAGCAACGGAACGTCACCAGCCACCGAAAACATCAGCCGCACCCCCCCCCCGGGGTTCTCCACACAACTACGTAGCTCCGACATCATCAGCCGTATAAATACGTGAGTCGCCAATCAGCCAATCAAATCTGATCATCGTTTCGGTGGTCTGCGCACCTTGAAAGTCTTGTCCCCGAAGAAGTGGATCTCATCGTACTCGGTCGTGCCCTCGCCCAAGAACTGCAAGCAGAACGTCTTGTCCCATCCCTTTGGGTTTCGTAAGGCGATAAAGGTTAAGGGTTCCCGCAGGAAGGAAGACAAAGAGGGAGGGGGGTTAGAGTAGAGGAGGGGTTAAGCATCGGTCTTGCGGCAAAGACTAAACGGACGAGTGAAAACCATCCCGAAATCAACCATCACGATCAAAAGGGGCGGCTTGCTGTGGGGAGGGTGAAAAATCTAGACACCCCACGTATTGAATTGCTCAAAAGACAAGAGTTCGTGATTGTGTACTTCCAAGTCAAGTCAAAATACGACACAATCACGGAAGGTACGGAAAAAGAAGGAACCAACACTCCGGTAGCGCGCGCGTGCATTGCATGTAACCCACACCGCCCAACATGGTGCGTACATGTAGCGAGGGGCAAGAGAGAGAAAGGTGCGATGCGTTTCGTTCTCCTGGTATTGCGGTGGGTATCTGGGGGGGGGGAATACCGAGTTGGACTGATGATGTGGCATGCATGTCGCATGTACGAGTAGGTCGTTTCGACTACACGGGCAGGACGACAGTACCAAGTGGGGCCGTGGAATGGCCGACAGACAAACTCCAGATCACCATCATCGACAACGACAACGATAACAACGGCGATGACAAGCTCCATCAACGAAAGCATTAACAAAGACAACAGACACAATTATCAAAATCATCACCATCACCAACGAAGAAGACAACGCCGCCAGCTGCATCAACGAAGACAGCAACAAAAGGCACCAACAATGACAATCAATACAGCAACATTAATACCCTCAACAACGACAACGACAACCATGACAACGACAAGCTACATCAACAAAAACAGCAGTAGCACAGACAACCAACAACAGAAACAAAGACAACCAACAATCACAACAAAAACATGGCACAGGCACGTTTCGCAGCAGCAGCACGCACCGTAGGGAAAAGGTCGAACGAGATCTGTCCCCCGATCGAGAAGGTCAGGTTCAGGTCCGCGAATTCCGTCCTCATGGCATCTACCATCGTTTGCCGAATCTTGTGCTCCTGAAAAAATAAATGCACGTGCGTGCGCCCACAAGCGAGCGCGCAGAGAAGTTCAACACCAGCAACTGCTGTGAAATCAACCCCCCAAATCGAAAAACGCGAATTGGCTATGTTACAACAGGGGGGTTTGACAACGGTTCCTGTTATCAATTACATATTGATATCTTAGGTTTTCGTCAAAATCATAGGCGATGAAATGTGTTAATATTATTGCCTGAGAGTCGCCAAAAAAAGTGCCGTACTGCTCTGTACGCAGACGTACACATGCAGAAACAAAAATGAAGGACTCTGTCTTACGTATCACAGTATGTACTCGGGAAAAATAAAACACGGGCGCCGTGGTGCGGCAGGGTCTCACGTTATCGTACTGCTCAAACGCGTCCCGCTCCTCCTGGCTGCAGTTCCTGCCCACCGGGGAGATGTTGAGCATGCCGGTCCGGAACTCGATGAAGGTGCCCCTGTATTTTGATCGTCGTCGTGGTGAATATTTTTCGCAAAAACATGAGGACGAGGAAAGGCGAGGAATACTTGTATGCATACCACCAACGAGAGGAGAAGGGGATAATAAACAAATTAAAACGGCTCAAAATGAATTTTTGAGAGAGGCCGCCAAGCCATGGATTGCAGTCAGACGAAAGGACCACGTTCTCCAAGGCGGGTGAGGCCGGCGAGTGGCGAGCGATAAACGCGAACGCTTAGATGGTAAATCGTACAGCACCGGCCTTTTAGTTTATATCGGAAAAAAGTGTCAAAGGTACTACTGTAAAGCGATAGGGTTGAATACTTCTGCAGTGTGTCGGCCGTGGTGAGTCGGAAGGCCGGACTCACACATGGCACATGGTGGTCCGAACGAAACGCCTTGAGAGGACGGTTGCAGTTTCCGAGCGTGAGACAACGTAGACTGCTCGCGAAAAACTCCCCCCCCCCCCCCCCGGCAAGAGGAATGTCTACCATGGAACGTAAAAGCGTCGATTGTTGTGTGTGTCTATCCTGCGGGATCTCTCCTGACTCTCCTCATTCAACCGCGTAGATCTTGTGTGCCCCAACCCCAACCCCTCGCCACAAACAGCACCGAGAGCGCATCTCCCAAAATAAGCACAAACGACTCGAGCTAGTGGCGAAAAGGTCGCTTGCCAGGGCGCGACGTCCCACTCTAGCCCAAGATTTCACAGTCGCGTCTCCCCTTCCCCTCCCTGTCGCGCAATTATTTGTCCGAGCGTTTACGGAACAGACAAAAGAAAACCCATCGCTCGCACACTGAACGCCCTGCCTCATGTCTGTATTATTCTCACCTCTTCACAGGGATGTCGATGCCCGACATGTACTTCAAGACCCAGTTGATGATCTTCTTGAGGTTTTCCTCGCCCACGTGCTTCGAAATCGTCTGCCGGCGGCGCACGGCGGTAGGGGAGGGGGGGGCCAAATACAAGAACCGAACACCAAAGATCAGTGCCCATCAACGCAAAAGACCGTTGTTGTTTTCACACGAAAAACCGTTCCGTTCTCTCTATCAAGTACCTTCATCTGTCGGTACTGATCTAAACACTTGGCGCGGTCGATTGTACGAGAGAAAATTACAAGCAGCGAGAACAGGAGCAGCGAGCGCCTGGGCCCGCTGCAGACATGGATTCGGGATCAACACAGATGAGCGCAACCATGCTTTTTTTCGTCGCCTGTCCGAAGAGATGCAACTTGGGGTAACGTAAACAAACAAAAACAAAAAACATGCCCGTCGTCACATGATAATCATCGTCATCGTCTGGAGTTCACGAACGTCTTTTGCGGCGAAACACTAGCCGGAGACAAACACCACGTCCATCAGCGGGTATAACGGAGGAGCCGAAGAAAAGCGGAGAGTCCAGAGGCCCACACAGCACGACCGCAGGGCGATACACGTTTCAGTCTATCGATCGAGTACTGTCACTCTGCTTTATCGACCTTTTTCGCCCAGGAATCTCGCAAGCCCCACCATGTACTATTATAATAGGCCATCCCTCCCGCCAATGACGGTGGACTCCTCTCACGAAACATGGCGCCGCCCGCCATAGGCCCGGCCTTACGCCAGGCCGATTTCACCCGCCCAATAGAGGGGAGGGGGCGACGACGACTGTTTCTACCCATCCTCGGCTCACCCGAAACGATCCCCAGATTCCACACGTAGGACACATCAGATCCCTACAGATCGGGCTAAATAGCCCCTTCGAAGATTAAGAGCCTTTTGTGATCTACCTCACGATCTGTCGGACGTGTGAGATTCAGATTCGACCCAGAGACACTAATAGCCTTCGATGGTTACAACGTAAATAACTCACAACCTCACGGGGTCCCAGGTCATGGCACTTAGAAACATTTGTCTATTTTCAACCACACTGAGACTGATGTATTTTGATTGGTCAGCCGGGTAGCGCGGTACATGCTAGTAAGAAAGACACACACGCGGACCCCCCCCCCCCCTACACACCTGCTCTCCGATGAGTTCTCCCGCCTTGTATGCCACCAGGCCGTTCTGGGAGAAGCTGTAGTCGTAGTCCTGCATTACTGCTCCGCCCCGTCCGCCCAAGAAAAAAAGAAAGAAAAAAAAAAAGGCGAGAGTACAAAACAAAGAACGCCCGACGAGAAATTTCAAAGTGAGAGTTTTGGTTTAGCTTGGAAAGCTGGCATTATCACAGCATCCTAAGGGAAATACCCATTTACAGGTAGGAGGTTAGCGAAACTTGATGCGCGCACGCTGGTCAACACCGATGGAGGTGGGGGGAGGGGGACTACGCTAAGTAGCTTAGCGGGTTGCGCTGATTTGCCTCGAAAAAGACAAGTCCAGTGTGTTCAAGCAGTGTCACGCATGTTAGTTGTATCAGGACATGACTATTGTAGGAGCCTCATCGTAGCCATGTGGCAGCTGACATTCAACCGAGCGCGCATTCGGTAGATGAGTTTTGACGTTCGCGGGGCACCATGCCTCTGGGCAGGTACTTCCTCTTCCGCCCTCTGTCGCTGCATAGATCAGCTCACTGACCGACCGGCTGACAAAGGGGCAGGAGATTCCCGGAACAAAAATCCACTCCTAGTATAATTCTTCTAAACCCCATTGGTCAACGGGGAGGCTGTCCTTCCGCCTGCTTCAAAACACGCATTGCCTTGCCTGTAGGAGATGGTACTACAGCAGTAGTGGGAAATACTCCGCGCCCTTCAGGCGGGCGAGTGTCCTGCATTTTGGTGCCATTGCAGCGGGGCAGAGAAGCTTCTTCCGAAAGCTTCTGGGAAAAAGCAATCAAGCGAAAGACCCGTGCTTGCTAGAATTTTGCCTCGTAGATGCCAAAGAGTAGTCCGTTTCGTTTTCTGCAATGCTTACCACATAGATCGAGCTATTTGAACAGCTCTTTCGAAGGGTATGCTATGCCTTGTAATTGGTATGACATTGGTGATGTGTGTATGTTTACCCCAGGGGTGATCTGAGTATATTTGCTCAGTGTGGTGATCTGAAGGACTCACGTCATCTGAGTATAATACTCTCCGGTGATGTGAAAGTCTCGAGAGAAGCTACAGTAGTACAGACTCATAATCTGTCAGACAAATGTGTGCTTGGGTCGGTGCGAAATCGTTAACGTTCGTACAAACCTTTTTGGAATACAACGTGTCGGGAACTACAAGGGGTTTTAAAAAATAGTAAAACTCAAGTCCCGCACGATTTCGCCGGTCCGAAACTGCTCTGCAACTGGACCGCCGTCGCGCGCGATTAGTAAGTTTACGAGGAAACAAAACAGGGAGGGGGTACGCAGACCCTATTTCCTTACCCCCAGCCTAACTTCCCCGATTGCATGCTTTATCCAACATGTTTACACAATACAAAAACCCTGCAAAGGGTACTGGGACAGGCTACTGCTGTAACTGCTGTGGATAGAAACGAGAGCGAGTGCATTCCCCGTCCTGTTGTCGTCATCACAATCATCCAATGGGGGGATGGACACAAATCAATTACAACTGCTGCACAGCAGTAGACTGTGCAAAATCTACCATGACATTGCCTCGCGCGGATTGAAGCTAGAGCAGTCGGATTGTTGGATTCTGTGGGAATTTTGAAGTAATCATCCCATCGTATGCTGATCTACCATGATGTCGCCCTGTGCGGAAACTACCGAAGTAAGTCAGCTGTTGGATTCTGTAGAATGGTTGTACTGCTGCAGATACAATTCCACGGACGGTTTTGCTCTCGAAAACGGGCTGGCCGACACTCGTCTATTGCTAGCATAGCGCACACAGGGAGGGAGAGAGCAACACGCGTGCTATTTCGTTGGCAGGGATCTGGACATGCACTTGTATATGCGCATCTACACTGCTGTCCTATGCATATCCATGCGTCAATGTTCTGTTACATAGGCCCGTTTGATGGATCGCCCCTACAACTGCTGTACACGGACGGTAGGAGCCTCTTTTATGGATAGAATGGTATCTATCATTTCGAGAGAAAATCTACAAACGATTCTATTTTTCTCCCGAGAGTAAGTCGTGTTTCCCCGTCCGACGAGGAAAACGAGCTGGACTCATAAACCACACAAGACCAGCCCACCACAGGAGTTACGTCGGGACAATCTAGAGGCAGGGCCCGATGGTGCATTCTTGCGACTGACTGACTGCAGTACAGCACCGACACGATCGCGGTCAAAAGTCAGAGGAGAGTCGCAACACATCGATTGGGAATCCACGAAGCACGCCAGAACATGAAAAGAGAAAGCACAGAAGCGCACCGCACCGGTCTCTCCGAGCTGTTCCTTCTGCTTGGGCAAGTCGGAGCCGCCCACGACGCCGATCGTGATCTCCTTGCGCAAGTTGGCGATGAACTCGACCATGTCGGGCAATACTTCCTGTTTAGCGCCGCCGGTGGTGTATTCGGCCACGACAAATTGGGGGACGGACGAACCCATCCGGTAAGAACGGATGAGGCAAAGCATCTGATTTGCAACGCACTAAATCGGTTGCCGATGGGCCCAGACGGTGCTGTTGCTACTACCAGGGACATTCCAGCCGGAGAGACACTGCCGCTTATTTCTGCTGCCCCGCTCCGGTTGGCACCGATTTTTGTGCGGACACGGGAGAAGCAGAACATTTTTGTTGTTGCTTTGTTCTTCAGGAGAGAGCATCGAGAGAGCTAAAAAATGCAGAAATGCACGAACGGTTCACACACACACCACACACCACCGCCTTACACCCACCTTTCGTGCCGCCGTGAGGGTGCCGTCGACGTCGAAGAGGGCAATGATGCGGGGGTTCTTGGCAGGCATGGTGGCAGAGAGAGACAGAAATAAAGAGGGCGAGAGGACGGATTCAAGACGTCGAATGAACGTGTGTGTGCCCGGTGTCGGACGGGAGCGGGTTGGTTCGGAGGCACAGCAGAGTGGAAAAAAGAGGGTACCATCAGATTTTGAAATTTGCACATGGGACTGCTTGGCTTGATGCTATGCTATGCTGTGTGACAGCCAGGCCAACAACAACGAGAGAGCGAGAGACCCCAGGGCGGAGGGGGGCAGTTGCAGAGAGAGGAGAGAGAAATAAAGAACGTGAAGGAGCACCATCCTGGATCTGTCGGTACAAGTCGATGCGGAAATGGAAGAGCTTGAGGAGACAAGCAGGCTCGTATTCCACGGGTAAGTCATCGAAGAAAACTTGTCGTTGCATTCAACACCGCCGCCGCGCAGCTCTTTTCTGCTGAATAGGGTTGCGCTGTGTTCCACGCACGGCCCGGGCGTGTGCGTAGCGTGCAGAAGGGAGAGAAAAATCCTGTGCGACGGGAACACTAATGGCAAAATGTTGCTCTGAGTTGCAATGTCTACTTGCTCGGTGGCATGAGGGGTGTACCGCTCTTCGGACTGCTGCTGCGCTGCTGCTGCTGTGTGTGTGATCCAGGCAAGGATTCACTCCGAGCCGCCGTTTCAAATACAGCGCCGTCCGTAGGTTGCATGACGGAAGATATCATACCCACTGGAACGATTTTGAAAGCTAGATAGCTCGGCAGGAAAAGCCGTGACGGCGCCGACAATGGCGACGTTGGAACCGTCTCGCGGGGAGCTTTCCGAAAGCATATCTCAATTGATTTCGGCATCATTGTTTCGTAATGCAGTAATCGAGCTTTGAAAATCGATCCAGGGGGTGTGGTATCTCATGTCATATCACCTCCAACGGTAAGTAGTTCAACTTTAGTCTCCTCCTGTAGCAGCCGTGGCATTGGCCGCGTCTTCCTATGTCTATGCAAAATGAAAACACACACACACACGGTTAGCGCGGTCGATGCTAGTAATAAAAAAACACACACGCACCTTTTGTGTTTTTAACCGCACTGAGACTGACGTATTTTCATTGGTCAGCCGGTTAGCGCGGTCGATGCTAATAATAAAAACACACACACACCTTGAACTCCCACTCCGATGACAAGTTCTCTCACGGATATCGACGGATCAACGCCCAGCTTCCCAAGGACGCCGCAGTCTCAAGGCGAGTCGGCGGCTCCCCACTACATACAGAAGCCTAAATCAAACCATTACACTAGTCAGCGCTAGTCAGCGCTGACTTGTTTAATGGCTTAATTGCGGCTTCCATACCACACAAACACGACCAGGCGACCAGCTCTGCGGTTGTACCAGCGACGGTGTGGCAGCAGCAGTAGTGTTTGCGGATGATAATGGCCGGGGAGATATGGCCAAATGAGAGAGAGAATCTCAACGAACGGAGTCATGTTACTTACTCCATGGCTCGCTGCATCGGCAACATCATCGAAAATTAATTGATATTGGACGACGAGTGCCCGTTATACCATCCCGTCATACCATCCCGTCATACCATCACCCAACCCTCGAGGGCCGGGGTTTTACCCACAGCACGGAGGTGGTGAACAGCGGCAGGGGGGGGGGGTCGTACGACATGCCTCCACTTGTTGTGTAGAGGGAACCGTAAGTTTGAGACATAGACTCTCATAGTATGTAGATACCGTGAGGGGGGGGGTTCGCCCGCTGCGGTGGGTGTGAAGTGTTTCGCACTCCAATCCCCATGTCGTACAACGAGCTTGTAGTTCACCCGACCGAACGCCGTCAATTCTGTACCCACAGCTGCAAATTTGTGTGCTCCTAAGGATAAGACAACGCATGGGAGAGTACGCCCCCCCTCCGTTCCGGCTTTGTAGGGATGCGAGGTCAATGGTATGGTCTAACGACTACTACGGCATGCACGACTATGAGTACACCCCCCCCCCCC